ATCTCGCCGGGATAGAAAACTACACATCCCAGTTTGGGCCTGGTAAGGGAGTTCCTTCACCAGGGAGGGCGGCGAGGGGAGGGTGTAGCTGGGCGGGCAAGTGGGCCAGGGTGGGAGGTGTTCACTGTCCCCCCTGGGCTGGGGGAAGGCGTTGCTTTTACTGGACAGATGAAAGTCTTCTTGGCTGAGATGACATTCAAAACAGTTAAAAAATGAAAGTAACACACGCACAAAGTTGAACAAAATCAAATGGTATCCGAGTGCTTATAATACAATGAAAATGACAGTTCAGTGCTGCGCCCCAAACCACCCCACCCTGTTCCCCTGTCTTCCAGTGAGGATCCTGGCTTCGTTAGGCAAAACATGGCTCTGTCCTTGACATCTTAGCTCTTACTAAGATAAATGAAGACACAGTCCACTTAATTTCACTCCCCCCAGCGCCCTTCTCCCCTTCCTCCTCTTGTGTTTAATTCCTCTGTGGGTTACCTCTAAGTTAAGGGATATGCTTGTCAATTTCCTTCGTGCTCCAGTGACCTTAGACAGTTAACAATGTCTCTGTCTCCTCTCTTTCAAAGTTCTCAGAAGAAGAATTACTTATTTTCAAAGATCTAACAATTTTTCCCACTTAGCAGATGGCAAAGTTCCATTCGAGAAAAGTTTCCTCCAAGGCAGGGAGGAGCAGTCAGTGTGTGGGGAGGGGGGAGCTCTGATAAGGAACAGCTGCCTCTACCCGTCTTGGAGAACTAGGGGTGGGGTGGTTTCTGGGACACTGTGCAACACCGGCACACAGTAGGTGCTCATGAAATCTCTCTTGAATTGGTCCCTAGGCTCCCTGTCCGTGGCCCAGAAGTCAGAACTGCCCCCCCGCACCTCCAACCCGACTCGATCTCGCTCGCATGAGCCAGAAGCCGTCCACGTCCCACAGCGGAAGCCGCCCGGCGCGGACCCGGCCTCCTTCCACTTCCTTGACGCCCCATTCGCCAAGGTCTCGGAGGTCCAGCAGCGGCTCCGGGCCACCCAGGACGGGAGCAAGCACTTTGTGAGG